CAACCATGTTATTTAACCGTAATCCATGTAATTTAAATATGTAACTTAAATAATTCTTATCCATTCCTATACAACTTGTGTGTCCTATATTTGTAGGAAAAAATATGTACCCTATTATATTATCATTACTAACAATACTTACTAATCGTATGTGTAATTTATCGAATTGATGATGCCTGTAAACTGGCGTCCCTCATGTAAAAAAAATGAGAATATACTATTATTATTATTTGATTACCGGAAGAGATCTCCTGTTACCAGTTGGTCCAACTTCAAACACACTAGGAAAAGACATACTGACAACATCAGAACACGTAATCAGACCGGGACGAAACTTGAACAAGACACACCAAATGAATGGGGATATACTTCAAACAAATCAGAGGTACCAGAAAGAATACTATGATAAGAAAGCACATGGGTCAACTGTGGAGCCAGGAGACAAAGCGATGCTACTTAAGGAGGCACTGCTCACAGGGAAGGCTCTCAAATTCCATAAAGGCTTGGAAGGACCATTTACTGTGGTGGAGGTACTTAGTGACTGCACCTGTAGGATCCGAGGACCCAATCCCGCTCATAGTCTGGTCACATATTTGAATAGATTAAAGCCTTTACGGCAACAAGCCTTAGCCCAGACATGTACTGCAGTAACAGTCACTTGGCACTGAGGGCAGTGGTCTTATTGGAGAGATGGCAGTGTAAGGAGTGGTAAGTTAGGCTGTTTTCGAATGTTCAAACTATGCTTGTCTAATTTCAGGCTGACTACGTATCATTCAGGGATCGGTTGCCCATAATGTAAAAGAAAACTGTTCAACAGAACTCTCTCATCAACAAGCATAGTTTAGCATAACTGAAGGCAGTGACGAGTCTAATTCTCTGAGAGACAGAGAGAAGCTGATATATGTGACACGCCAACTGTGCTACCATAGCTAGCTAGCTGAAAGACATAACGCCGAATTGTCTGCTGAAACAAATGGACCAGAATAAACTTGTTAACAGCATTATGCACGCTATAACTCCCTCCATTCCTCTCGGAGTCCTAACAGATTAGGCACCAAATTTGATTGAGTCACTCAGTCTGAGAATCTACTAGAGATGAAAATTGATTCGTAGTATTGCTTATAGTCGTGTTGTGAGTGACATCTCAATGTGAGCAATGTGTCATCCTGCCACACACACACAGAAGCGAAATCCTCTCAGATGCTTATTTTGGCTGGATATTGTATAAAAACTACAGAATATAAGAGTAAATATTTCTGAGAAACAACTCTACCATATTGAGTAGTAGCATTTACTGTTAAGTTTCGACCGATTGCTATTACCTCACCTTTTTTAAAAGTTATGGAAAGACTTATTTTACTTAATCTTGAACCCTCTTTAAAGCCTTTCAATGACCCCAACCAGTTTGCTTATAAACATAGTAGGTGTACCTTAGATGCCGCTGTTGTTCTATATCATAATATAGTCTCTAGTTTAGATAGAGGAGCCAAATATGTTCGGTGTGCCTTCCTTGATTACACATCTGCATTTGACTCTGTACCTAGGTCTCTCTTGCTAAGTAAGCTTGCTGCAACACAGAGTGAGAGCTGGATAAATAAGTGGTTGCATTCCTATTTTTCTGATAGGAAGCAGTACACCGTCTACAATGGAAAGTCCTCCACTACCTCACTTACTTTATCTGGTGTTCCTCAAGGTGCTGTTCTTTCTCCTTTTCTGTTTTCTTTTTTCTTACATGACTTGCCCCATTCTGATGTTACCACTTTTGTCAAGTATGCTGATGACCTCTCTGTCTCCATGCCTGTCAACTCTCAGTCAGATTGTTCCAAATTAAATAACTTTCTCTCGGAAATTAGTCAGTGGTCCTCTTCAAACGGTCTTAAGCTGAATCCGTCTAAATGTCAGGTAGTAAATTTCACTTTCAGACGAAAACGTGACCTACAACAACTAGCTAGCTCACATGGTCCCACTATCATTGACGGCATAGAGGTTGAAACTATATCTAATGTCAAGTACCTTGGACTGAGTATTTCCTCCGATCTTTCCTGGTCCTCTCACATCTTCCTAGTTACTAGAAAGATGTTTCGCTTGACGTTCTACGTTAGGAAATTAAGGCAGTCTGGTCTGAAGCAGTCCTTGCTTTCTCAGTTTGTCAACTCTTGTATTCTACCCATTCCTCTTTACTGCTCCCCACTAATCTTTCCTGGACTACTTAAGAAAGACTTTGCATTGTTGAGAAGGGCACTAAAAGCTGTTAGTAGGGGAAGTGGGATTTCGTTAAACCAACTGGTTAACACCATTGTGGATAGACATATAATGTCATGTAAGAAACTAGCGAATTCTATATTGTCAGACCCTCTCTATACTCAGCTCTCTCCTTGCATTTCATCTGGTAGAACTAGAAGCAACTATAAGAGGGTATATGCTAGGACTACCAAGCACAAAAGCTCCACAATACTTATCTGGCACAGCTGTTATGTGATGAGAAATCCGTTAGGTATGACACGATCAACTTACTGCGGCACTCTAACAAACAAAAAGTTTCCCATTAGTTTTTGTTATCCTTTCTTTGTTACTATTATATTGTTGCTCACATATTCTATTGCACACTAATTTTATATTTCATATTCCTGTGGTGCATTGTTAAAATATGTGAATGCAATGCTGTTCTTTTTTATTTCTTTTATTTTTCTTTTTTCTTTTTGTTGTTGTTGCTTTTTATTTTTAAAATCTTATAAAATTTATGAGGTAATTAAATGCAATATTGTAATGCACGCTGTGAAAATTCCATACCTGTACCACAAATACTGTTTGGAATAAAGCTGTTATTATTATTATTATTTACTTTACAAAAGACCGACAGTCCCACCGATAAGCATCAGTCCTGTCTAAAGAAAGAGCGCATTTCTACATCGTAACGTATTTGCAATGCTTAATTTCGGTTAAAGAGAAAAAACGACTGGTGTAACAACTAAAAACCATCCAGTGATGTTCGCCACATAGTGCGAAATGATGAAACTGTGAACAGACTGCCATTCTTCTGTCTAATCATCACAGATTGATTGCCTATGCAATGGAACGTGCTAACTCGTGATGGAAGACAAGCAAAACAACCTGAGCATCAATCTATATTGACTAGAACCATTTGACTGGCGGGTTATTCGATAGATAGCAAAGTACCACCAAATACACTACACTATCCGGTAAACATCTTGTTGTTACTCCTATGACGACGGTTGTTAATTCCTTTCCTACCTGTTCATTCTCAATCTTTCCTTTGTTCAACATTATACTACTTGCCATTAGTAAGTAGTATGATTTTTATATGTTAATTTATAACAATGACATTTGCTTACAACTGCAGTTAAATTACTTGTTCTATTATCATTCATTCTATTAATGTATAGTTCTTATTTTTCTTCTCCTTAAACATTATTTGCTGACCTTACCTCTATAGTGTATGCTTTACTACTGAAAGTTGTTTGTTCATATTTGTTTATTCTTTGCTTGGCATTCGCGGGCCGTTTGAACCGTGGACACGTGGATCGACCTTGACACAGCATTGCTGTTTTTACTACTTATTGACTGCACACAGTGGTTATGCATTTGACGGCATTTAGCCACAGACACCTCACATTTTGAGGTTTGTATATTATATATCTATTTATTTTTATGTAATAAAGTAGTACCGTATTGCAGAATATCCTGTATTTCGGACTTTATGCCTCCGTCACTCTACGTGTGGTTAAATCTATAGTTTGGATTATCGTTTCGGGAGAAATTCACGACGGTATTGATGGATTATCCTGTCCCCGTTGTTATTTTTGTTGTCACATTCTCAAGTTACCGAGGAGAGAGATTCGAGTAGTTTCTATAGTTGGAACTTCGTCTGAATACAACATGCCTACAGGAAAGTTGGACTTTTGATAAAGGAGGCAGTTACCATTTATAACAGGCTTGATGAACAACAACGTTTTCAATACACATTATGTGCGCGCGTAACAGCGATACCAAGTTAGGCTTCGAACCTACTTACCTCAGTGACTGACACCTAGGTGGCGAAGAAAATACGACAAAAACTGTTGTTACTAGTTTGCAGAATGACTGATAGCCTCCAAAGCCTCAGGATGGTCGGGGGTGGGTGCCTTGCGCTGCCGGTTGGCCAGCCTTCCGCACACCTCTTGAAATGCTACCATATGACCGGGCGTCTTACATAGCCTCTCCTGAGGAAGTCCTACTCACTGCCTTCACGTGGCGGAGGTGTTTTTCACCAAAGCGTGAGGGCGAAAGCGGAAGCCCGGCGCTCTTCACCGGGTTGACAGTCTAGGGGAGATGGATAAACCCTGATTCCAAACCTCCAACGACTTATGGCGTATGAAGCTCACTGGAGCTCACCGGAAGACGTATGGACAAAGGGATTGTTGGATGTCTGGCCCCATTCAAAAAGGCGTATGAACCGAACTCCGGTCACCGGCTGCCAATGGATAGTGGACTCCCTACTCCACTCCTACTACTGCCTTGTAGGTCACACTTGGTTGTGTAAAGGCTAGAGCTGCACTCTCAAACAAAAGGCCGAGCGATTCTGGGGACATCACTCGTACCAAATTCCCAAGAAACTTCATGAACTCTTCCAGTACGGGTCCAACAACGTCGCCTTCGGTGGTTTGGCCGTGTTCTGCGCCGACCAGACGACGATCTGGTCAAATCAGTTCTAAATCCCTCGCCATTACCATCTTGGCGATGTCGCGATGGGGTGGACAGCTGAAAACATGGCTTGGTACAGTCAAGGCTGATATGGAGTGCCTGGGGCTACAAACCGTCTACGGACTCCGTCTGTGGAACAAGAATTGGATAACCTTGTATCACATCACCGCGCCTGGGCAGCGATGATTCGAGATGTTCATGAAGCCGGCTCATCCTCCCGTAGGAGATAGCCGAAGTAAAGTAAGTAAGTAACTACCCAACCACCCCATCTCGACCATTGAAAAACACACTTTTCATGTATTGAATATTAGAAGGTGATTTTGTTTGTTTTGTATTTATCAGTAACAGGTTTATTTTTTATTTCTCAGAACATAACATAACAACAAGACTGTAAAAATAGGAGAGAATATTTGAACTTTGTGGCTAGAGGGGGTTTTCCTGGGGGTTTTTTACAACATTAAAGATAAAGGCTGGCGGCAAAAACGATATCTCGTTTGATCTTTTCAATAGCTGAAAGTAGAAAAAAAAAACCAATTGATATGATGATATGGATATCGATTAGTAAGTAAGTAGTGCAGTATGCAATAAGGTTGTCACGGAACAGAAAATTCTCATAACACGGAATTAAACACACACGCGATTTATGTTACTACTTACTTACTTTACTTCGGCTATCTCCTACGGAAGGATGAACCGGCTTCATGAACATCTAGAATCATCGCTGCCCAGGCGCGGCGATCTGATGAAGAGAGTTCATGAAGTTTCATAGGAATTTGGTACGAGTGATGTCCCCAGAACCACTCGGCCTTTTGTTTGAGAGTGCAGCTCTAGCCTTTACACAACCAAGTGTCACCTACAAGGCAGTAGTAGGAGTGGAGTAGGGAGTCCACTATCCATTGGCAGCCACTGACCGGAGTTCGGTTCATATGCCTTTTTGAATGGGGCCAGACATCCAGGACATCCAACAAGCCCTTTGTCCATACGTCTGCCAGTGAGCTCCAGTGAGCTTCATACGCCAGTCGTTGGAGGTTTGGAATCAGGGTTCAGCCATCTCCCCTAGACTGTCATCCAGTGGACAGTCAACCCGGTGAAGAGCGCCGGGCTTCCGCTTTCGCCCTCTCACTTTGGTGAAAAGCACCTCCACCACATGAAGGCGGTAAGTAGGACTTCCTCAGGAGAGGCTATGTAAGACGCCCGGTCATATGGGAGCATTTCAAGAGGTGTGCGGAGGGGTGGCCAACCGGCAGCGCAAGGCACCCACCCCCGACCATCCTGAGGCTTTCGAGGCAATTTATGTTAGACAAAGGCAAAAGAAAAGCAATCACACACTGGCTTTTCTTCATTCCTCGTACATATTTTCCTGCAAAAATACTTAAAAACGAAGTCAGTCTACGAATTCTAATTGAGTAAATCATGTCGGAGTCTGTAGATGGTTACTAATTCCTATCCTTCATAATGCGATCGGTTCCGTTGACGTTTTAAACTCTTTAAGCAAGTGTCAAAAGAGTTGGTTTTACGAGTCTATCTCTCTATCACTTGGAGAAGGAATTCGGTCGGTCGGTTTTCGACATAGAACTTTGCACTGATGTGCAACAGTTCAAGTCGCCACACTCCACTCCTTGTAGCACACAAAGGAAGAGAAGAAAGTACAAGAAATGAATAATATAGACAGTAAACAGAGGTGTGGTGAGACAAAGGAATAGTAATAACGAAGAACACAATATAGTTTCATTGGAAATCATAAGTTACAAGGAGTGGATGCATCTGCGCCACTGAGAATGATCTTGAGCCATGTCACCAATTGTTTCCAACCATTGGTTTTTACCGTCCCGAGGACCACAACCAGTTGGGAAGTCCACACCCTCCTACGTGGCTTCGACTAACTGTTGTTGATTTCATTGACTGATGCCATGTTTTCGTTTGACCGCCGCTAGCTCTTTTCCAGCCTGGCCCTATATCAGCTAACATTGCCCATTGTCGAGGAAGGCGATGACTAGGCATTCATTCGTAACACATGTCCCAACCATCTCAGTCGATGTAATTTCACAGTTTTGTCGACTGATTTCCCCTCACACCTACCTAGCACTCATTGGACGGCTAAGCTCAATATTGCTCACTTCACGCGGGATATAGAACGCAGACACCTATGATCGAAGACAGCTAATCAGCCTTTTCATGTCTTCTGCTCTCAATGGCCATGTCTCACAGCCATAAAGGAGGACGGTGCGGACTGTTGAGCAGTACACACGCCCTTTGGTCGATAGTCGGATATCACGTCTACGCCAGGGACGGCGTAAACTGGCATATGCGAACCTAGCCCTCTGTATTCGTGCTGATATTTCGTCTGAGATCAACCCGTTGGCACTGGCTGATGGTACTTCCAAAGTAATTGAAGTGGTCTACGTGCTCTACCACTTCACTTCCTATTTCTAATCTAGGGGTCGATGAGGTCCAATCCTGCAGCATCATCTTACATTTTGCAGAGGCGAATCGCATGCCAAACATACGAGGATTGTTGCTCAAGGTGTTCAGTAGACTCTGCTGGATTTTGTCAGCGTCCTCTCCTAGAAGGACTATATCGTCCGCATATTCTAAGTCGACGAGATTATTCCATCGCTGGTAGCAAGTCAATCCCTGAGTCGCTGAAGTGTGTTAGGGTTAAGTCCACTAGTACGTCTATGATGAAGTTGAATAGGAATGGGGATAATGGGCATCCTTGACGGACGCCACTAGTCGTCACCACTTCAGATGACAACTCGCCATAAGCCCTCACCTGGCTGCATAAGTAGAAGGAATTCTACTAGTGACTGCTGTAATTCTTGATGAGAGAAACCTTTTTTAAGTGGTTGGCAAGTTGACATTTTCAGTTTACCTTGTACGTCTTGCTTTGTACATGAGGTATTGATTAAACCCACAATGACAGAGAGGATGATGTAATATATATATATATATATATATATATATATATATATATATATATAGTCTCAGTTTACGAATTCACACAGTTCATCCGTCGCTCTCTCAGTCTTTTCCCCCTCTCTCTTGTAATTCTCAATACATTATCTATCACATCTTGAGCGAATTCGACGGCTACAAAAAGCATCACAGCTTCCGCGTTTAGAGTTAACTGTAAGTAGGTAGGTAGGTAGGTAAAGTAATGCTAATGGATCATCTTGAGGCTAATTTCCAGGATAACTGTATTTATTTCTCGTGGGAGCAGTACTTTACTTGCGGATACTGTGTACACATACACACGTACGTGATATTCCGTACAGCACACAACTGCACGACAACTACACAGTCACCATTAATAGCTGGGGAAAAACAAGAGAATATTTTGATACTTTACTGGGAGAGTGCGAGCAACTCGATTTGATCAAAGTAAAGTATTGACTTTCTTTGATGGGAAGCATATTTATCAACCATTTTTTCTGGTGAAATATCACATATACACGTACGTACGCACGCACACGATCGAGGCGAATGGATTACACTAACACACACACACACACACAATTACATATATTCTACTCAGTCAGTCATACAATTTATATTTCCAGGTCGAACGGATATGCGCATCTTAGTTGGAAATGATTCAATAACCGGGTGTAGTGAATGAAAAATAAACGCCAGGATAATCACTTCACATCGAGACTTTAATGCGGGTTTCTTTTGTGAATCATATTAGTTTGTTTTATTAGATGTATCACACAGTGAGTAAAACAGTATTATTTACCGAATGACGATGTTCTGAACACGATTCATTATTGTGGTTCATAATCATATCACCAATTATAATCACACGACTTCGAAACTTGAGTTTTATAGTCTTTTTTGTTCTCTCCTATTTGTGATCGTCGTTGGGGTAGTAGAATTTTCCAGATGTCCAGCTGGCAGGTGTTGAATCAGTTGATTCGATAAACAAAGCTTCTGTTATCGATCTCTCCCTCCCTACACCCACCCTGTGACATTAGAATTTAAAACTGTCATCCTATCCCATCCAGCCTTTTGTATGGTTGTGTGTAATTGCATGTAGTGCTTGCGATAGCTGTTGAACTATTCTCTAGATTTCTTATCTTATTCCGGTCAACCAATCTAGATTTCCCTGAGAGGTATTTATGCTGCTCGGATAGTCTGACTCACTGACTGACCCCGTTCTACTAGTTTGACCGATGTATTTGACCTGACAATCATCTCACACAGGGTATTAGATAAACTAAATTGTTTTGTCGGTTACAGGCTCCACAGGATTGATCCTTTAACCGACAAAGCTTGTTTCTAATTGAGTTTGTGGGGAGGGTTTGAATGCCAGCAGCCACTTTTATTCCTGTCAGCCTTGTTAAGAATTCTCCGCTGTAATGTGGTTACCGAGGTTCCTTCCTTCCTTCCTTGTATGGAATTACTACTGATGATTTAGATTCCTTATTGTTGGTGTTGTCTCACGCATATTTTTTTGTGTGAATCAAACGACATCATAATTCGGTGATCTGCCTCACTCACTATCATCTGATTCAAAAAGAAAAATAGTCGATTTTATTCTTATCAGTATTTGAAATGGTTTGAAAACTTTGGTAGAGCTAAGTTACTCCTCCATCCGAAAGCACGACTGGTGAATTCAGCTAGCTTCCAGGATGAGGGAAAACCGTTTGGCGTTCTAAGTAATTTCGTCGTTACTGACTAGCAAAAACCAATTTGGTTGGTGGTCATTATGAATTCTACTGACCGACCACAGCATTAGTCGGTAGTAGTAGTAGTAACTGCTACTCCCGAATAAATACCTACAATAAAACAACTCACTCATGCAGCGGGGGGGGGACTTTTTTAAAACAGCGTGAAAGCGAGCTAAAATGGATTGTTACTCAAATGTTACTTACCAACCAATTGCCAGCATTCAGGGGAAGTTGGCAATGATTCACACCAATTGTGTGATGGTTAGTCATGCTACCACCTGGTTGTCCAAACATTCATTGGTAGATGGGATGGGATTTGAACCCGTGATCTACTGATTGGTGGTCAGATGTTTAAGTCAATTAACCGCAGTTCCACCACGAAAACAAACTATAAATATACATATCATCCACAACGGGAAACTTAGGGAATCCTTCGAAGTGAGGACAGGAGTAAGACAAGCTGGATGCCTACTATCGCCAATGATTTTCCTGATTGCAGTAGACTGGATAATGCGACAAACAGTAGGCAATGAGGAAACAGGCATAAAATGGTCCCACACGAAGAAAGAACTTGGAGAATCTGGACTTCGCCCATGATGATATATGTCTGATTTCCCACAAACTGGAAGATATGCAAGCGAAAAACAACAAGTTGGAAGAAGAAGCATCCAGGGAAGATAGGAATTGCTTCAGGTGAACATAGAGAAAACAGAGGTGATGAAGATTCCTGGCCAACACCACCACCAACAACAACAGACAACAGTCAGCATAAATGGGAGGGACCTGAAACAAACAACCCTTTTTTACTTACCTGGGAAGCATCGTCTCAACTACAGGCCAACGGAACTGACGAGGATATCAAAGCAGCGAGGATCGGGAAACCAAGACAAGCTTTCATTACTCTCAAGTCTGTGTGGAGGTCGACAGCACTCATCACTCAGCATGAAAATGAAAATAAGATCCGGATTTTCAACTCCAATGTGAAGTCAGTCAGTGCTACTCACTATACGGATCAGAGACTTGCACTGCGCGTCATAAAGAGCATCTCAAACAAACCACAGACCTTCATCAACAGCTAGTTGTCTTCGCTCAATACCACTCAAGATCAGATGGCCAGAAAAGATCAACAATAGAGATGTCTGGGAGCGAACCAACCAGGAACTGATTGTGAAACAAATATGCAAGAAGAAATGGAGGTGGATTGGCTGGCCATACTCTGAGGAAACAAACCATCAAGTGACATCACTAGACAAGCCATTGCTCGAGTGGAACCCGACCGAATGGGAAGCGGCGAGTTGGTCGTCAGTGTGAGGGTGGGTGACTTGGAGGAGGTCATGTGAGGAGATGAAAACGTGTGGGCAGACATGGAGCCAGGTGAAGACTCTAGCAGGGAACCGAACGCAATGTAGACGCACGGTTGAAGCCCTATGTTCCTCTAGGAATTAAAGGAAATAATAATAACAATAATAATATCGTCGCAACACAGTAACAAAAAGGGAGAAAAAACACCTCAACCCCTGCTCTCACCTTCAAGAAACTTCTTCTCTAGAGCCGTGCTGCCAATCGTCCGAGAAGCATTAGCCATTTGTCTCAACAGCTCTTCAAGCATCCTCAGTGTACGAATAATTGTCCCTTCGAATTGATCTGTCATAATACAAATTTCAGAGAATGTCGCGCCTTTTGCCCAAGAATCAACAAGATCCATAAAATGCGGTTTAAATGAATCGACATAGTTCTCTTCATCGATTGTCAGACGACATTCATTACTAACACGAGCGATATGTCTAGCTGTATCCTTGGGAGGGAGGAGTTGGATGTTTGATGAAGTTACAAAACAAGAAAAAGAACCAAAAACCAAACAGATTAAAGCGTGTTAAAGAGTAGTAGTATTACGAAACAATGAATTTTGGTGAATAACTTTTATCATACTGCTATTCACACACACAAGAAAAGACAAAACCACCAGTGGGGGTTCTCTATTAAGACGTTCATAAAGTATACATATATATCAGAACTGAGAAAGGACTTTAGCCCAAAAATATTGATTATTTGCAATTAATAGTGTTCTCTGAAGAGCTGGTTGGTTTAGTTGCGAAGCTTTCGTCGCCCCTCTGCTGGACAACATCCCCTTCAGCGCCATATTTAGTACAAAGTGAAATGATTTCAATTTCTTCATAAGTGATAGATAGAATTGCGTCCCCCGGTAACCATCTTTACATATGTATTGATCATTCATTTTCTATTGACTTGGATTTTAAACTTTCTGGTCACCTGATTTACTTTTTATTGGTTGGTATATTTCGTCTATATTATCGTGTTTGTTAATTGCATATTCGTTTGAGTACCGACCAGGCTTCTAGGAATTTCCTGACTGCACTTTTGATGGTGTTTCCTCTGTCTAAAATTTCGACATTATCCCAATCAAACTGTTGTCCATAATTATCTGTATGCATTGATATGAAACAGGAATATATATCATGTCTTTTCACAGCTGATTTGTGTTCCTGGATTCTGATTCGACGCCTGGGGACTCCCACTTCTATTACCGATGTAATGTCTGTTACAGTTCATACATGCAATTTATTTTGTAAATGGTATTAATTTTATCTCCTTTTTCTGTTGGATGTGTCTTTTGGTTTGCATAATATCGAATTAAGCGATTTGACTGGCTTGTGTGCTATATCTATATCAAACGGTTTCAGTATTCTAGCTGTTATTTCAGAGATATTTCTCATGTATGGTAGAATGAATTTTCTTGTGGTCTTTGATGATGGTTGGTCCTTGTTGATGTTTTGATTCGACTCTATACACTTTTTGATGAAATTTTGTGAGGATAACCATTCTTTTTGAAAACCGTTTGTAGGTATTTTCCTTCCATCCTTTTCAACTCTGGAGTGCTACAATGTGTCTGAACTCTTTTAAACAACGTCTGCACACAGTTTCTTTTGTGAGTGAGTAATTGGATTGTTGCTAGTATAGTTGAGTATTTGATCAGTGTGTGTGCGTTGATTTTCTATACACTTGTGTCTCTAAATCTCCTGTGTTGGTTCTCTTGATTAAGACATCTAGAAATGGGATTTTGTTATCTAATTCTTTTTCTCTCGTGGTGAATTTGATGTCTTCAAATATGTTGTTTATTAATTTATGAGTATATTCTAAATCACATTTCTCTTAATCATTACAAATGTATCATCAACGTAACGTACCTGTCCAGATTTTCGGTTTAATTATAGGTAGAGCTACTAATTCTAATCTTTGCATAACGGCTTCAGCTATTAATCCTGATATGGGCCATGAATTCTAACTTCTGCCATTGGATCAGGTCCCAGTGGCTGAATTGTCTACGAGCTCGCTCGCTAGCTTTGTGACCAGAAGGTCCTTGGTTCGAACCCCACAGTGTGGGTGCGTACTGATGAAGAGTCCCAAACTAGGACGGGGGAAACAGCTGGCTGTCCAGTACTCCCTATGGCTGGTTTTCCAATGGTTCTCTAACCACAATGTCAGCTGGTCATGATGAAATCCTGTAACCTATCTATGAGTGTTTATTCTAGTACTGACCAATTAATTTGTTTGGTGAGATTGTTAAATAGCCAGTCCCAACCATTCTTAGCCCCATTTTAGTATTAACGATCTTTGGGCAAATTCATATAACATGGTTAACCAAAATGCTAGAAGACGGTAAAAAAAATTGATGAGGTTTTCCATTGATCAAAGAAAGGAAATAAAAACCTTCAGTCCCCCCTCCACACACACACACACTAGTTGATTAGTAATAGTACGGTGTTATCTAAAAGTTATAAACTACAATTCCCTATAAATATAAAAACAAGCACATCTAATGAGCTTGTTACTGAGTTTACAAACATAGAGCTTCGAACAGAATTGCAACAATTTTTCCAGGTACCCCCACCGATGTGCATCTGACGTTCAATGGTAGAATGCTCGCCAACCACGCACATGATGATGGTGATCAAGGGTTCGATTCCTGACCGACGCACTCCTACATCTCACGTATCCGGAAATGATGGTGCGGTGGTGAGGGCTGACTAGCTAGCCAAAATTGGTAGACAGTAATTTACGTCAATGTTGCTGATGTCCCAAATATTAGTCATGAGAAAACAAGAACAAGAATAAAGACTGACTGACTCAACGAACCAATCACAGCACACTTTGTTTGCGTGGGCGGATACAATTAGCAGATAGATAGATGGTCTGACCTTGAAGAAACAGCCCCACAAAGAGAAACAACCACCAATCAGTAGACTGTGTTTGTCTGCTAACAATAATCTATAATAATAATGTACATGAAAATCGATTAATATGTGAGTTGATTTCCTCAATAAACGATCTGTTGCCTGGTTCTTTTCTCCCGTTGTTACATCTGGTGTTACTGCCTACCGAAAATTGGAAAGCCTATGCCCTGCAGTTTTTGATGGAGACATATGGATGGATCTTCGGGTAGGACTTCGAGGCTTCTGCGCAGTTGAGTGGCGTTCAAGATCTCTCAGCGATGAGGCTGTTACTTAGGACGCTGCTGGAAGGTCGGGATAAAACAGCATATGGAAGTGTGAGGCGAAATACCGATGAATGTGCGACAGGGTCAGACAAACAGTTTCCAAAGTGGGAAGGAGGACCACATATGGTCACTTTGAGATGGGGTTACAATAAGAATCGTAAACAAAGAGAAACAGGTGAATATCAGCCAACTTCGAGATTCCAAACAGCAAGACAAACGAACAAAGCCCCTAGAACCAAGAAGACCAAATCAACTTCAGTCGCAAGTCTTTGACGGGGGGACGAGTGTGGTGAGAGCTGACTGCTAGTCAAATTGGCAGACAGTATTCTACGTCAACGTTCACGTCCCCAATATTGGTCTTGAGAAAAATAAGAACAAAGACTGACTGAACAACCAATCACAGCACACTTTATTTGCGTGGGCGGATACAATTACCAGATAGATAGATAATCTGGCCTTCAAGAAACAGCCACAAAGAGATGAAAGATTAACGTTCAGTGAGAAACAACCACCAATCAGAAGACTGTGTTTGTCTGCTAACAATAATCTATAATAATACTGTACATGAAAATCTAAAAATATGTGTTGATTTCCTTAATATAAGCGATCTGTTGCCTGACTCTGGCCTTCTGTTGTTACAATAGGAGTTTGGATGTGAGGCAAGCAAATTTAGCCCGTGAAAAAGAAGAAGACAGCACAGCTATTGAAACCTAAAGACCACTAGTTTAAAGCTCTATTCTCCCCTCAATAAAATTCCTTCACGTTCCTAGTGGAACGTACCCATAGCGGTACAAGCTAGAGGAGGCTTGAAGTTTCGGTAGCAGTGGTGTTTTTCTATTTTAACGGGATAGGGTGGGTGGGTTGCCAGCCTAATGCCCAACCTTCCCTCTTTACCAGAGCTATTAGCGGCTTAGCGAGGTGAAGGAGTGCATCCACTGGGGTTCGAACCCTGAACCACTTGCGTGGTTGGCGAGAGCATTCTACCGCTGTGTCAAAACATTAAAAAAAACAACGGATTTTTAAAACTGTTGACGAGACAAATACAAAAAGAGACCTCTAGAAAAGCTAATAATAATTAATAATTCATAAAAAATTCTCATTCGAACATTAATAGACAGAAGACAAGTAGTTCAGCGAAGAGTCTCTTTTCGGCGACGAATTCATTTTCATAGCTGTACAATCGCAAATATATATGGTTGTTTTGTATATGTGTGTGTGTGTACATTAAATTTGTCAAACGAAAATACAATTAGTAAGTTCAGGTGAATTGGATGTTGAGAGAGTAACAAAGAGAGTAGTAACAAAAGTGATGAGTTGTCACAAACAATTGTTAAAGAAGAGTTGCGTAATAACATGAATAGTTTAATGGAAGAGTTGTACTCAGGGTGTACATGGAAACAAAACAATATACGGAATTACACAAGGGTTTTAAGTAGAAAAATAAGCATACAAACAAAAGTCAAGTCAAATCAAACAAACAAACAAAAATTAAGTCGAATCAGCGGAGTTGTTACCATGGGAGTAGAAGTGGTTGAATAATTTTCTTTTGTATGCATAGTTCTGGTTCCTCTAGCTTAATGGCTAGGGCTTCTGCGATGCAAAGAAGACGGAGACGTACTTTGTCTTTGGAAGGTTGTTCTTCACTTTGTAGATTACTTTGAAGCAGGAGGCGTTTGTTGTTGAGATGGAATGACCAGTAGTGTTGACGAGATGTTCGATTATTGCACTCCTTATGCAGCCATTACTTCCTTTCTGTAGCCACGCTGGATAGTGTTCTTTGACCCTTTTTGACAGGATACGCGTTGAACGACCGATGTACCTGGCTGGCTCCACAGCAACAGGTGAACTGATATATACACATAGAAGTAGTGGTCAGGTGCGGGATCTTGTCTTTGTGCATACAAAAGAAAATTATTCAACCACTTCTACTCCCATGGTAACAACTGTGTTGATTTGACTTAACTTTTGTTTGTATGCTTATTTTTCTACTTAAAACCCTTGTGTAATTCCGTATATTATTTTGTTTCCATGTACACACATCCTGAGCACAACTCTTTCATCAAACTATTCACGCTGTTATTACGTAACTCTTCTTTAACAATCGTTTGTGACAACTCATCACTTTCATTACACTACCCTCTTATATCAACACATCCAATTCTCATCTGAACTTACTAATTGTATTTTTCGTTTGACAAATTTAATGTACACACACACACATACAAAACAACCATATATGGCAAAGTTAAACTTTCGACACCAATAACAACCAATCAGCAAACGACCTTGAACGGACCAATCACATGTAAGAGACGTTTATGATAAGCGGAAACGTATATTTATAGAAAAATGCACAAAAAAAATGATAAAACGGTTACAATGGGTATGTTTCCCGAACATGGGAGAGAAACATTTCCCAATTCAGCATGGCACTGTCAATAGAGAAATCACACCACATTCTATACATATATTCATCTAAATAACTATAAATGAGATCCTTTTGAGGTCCATTTATAGCCCTTACTCTATTTTTCAATCGACCCCAAAATCCTTCAATGGAATTTGTATGAGTTCCTGTAACTTGGTCCACGAAATCACTGGAGTGGTTCACTCTGTGATGAATGTATCCCAGGGATGACAATGAATCATAGCGTTCCCACTCGTCGATATGTACAATTGATCCCGGTTTCACGAGTCGCTTTATAATAGGTACCAGAGTAGTCGCCTTCCTGTCTGCTATTCTCTCAGCAAATCCTTTTCGGAGGGACATGTCGTATAAACCTATGACCCAAATGTTGTTCGCTCTCTGACGACCGCGGTTATATTTCTTCTTCACCAACACCGTCTCATACACATGGACTACTACGTCGTCCCCACCTAACAACGAAGTAATTCTGTCCATTCTCCATGAGGCGATGTCTCTGCAGTGCTGGTACCACTGAACTGTTGAGACGAGGCTGTTCTCCGTCTCGGCAGCAGAGGCTCTCATGGACTGTTTCAATACTCAGCAATTGCAAATGTACAAAATATGGGTTAGGGAGAAATGCGACCTAGCAAAATAGTTCCTACGAAATATTACCCTCTGATACAAACTCGCTTCCAGCATATTCCACAACGATGTACAAAACCATCAGTTGACCTAGTATAGCTTTTTAGAGTCATTACACCACCACACGAACAACTTCTCTCCTTTAGAAGCAAGCCTAAGTCCAGGCAATACTGAAAGACACTATCCTCCTCGAATTGCAAACGCAACCTTGTAAGGGCACGCATTTGATGAAATGAATCAATCGCTATACAACATTGAACAGCGTTCGTGAATCTCATTGGATAATTCGACGTCGTTTGCTGATTGGTAGTTATTGGTGTCTAAAGTTTAACTTGGCCCCATATATATTTGCGATTGTACAGCTATGAGAATGAATTCACCGCCACCGAAAACAGACTCTTCGCTGAACTACTTGTCTTCTGTCTAATAATAATAATAATAATAACAATAATGTTAGTAATAACATACTTGTAATGTATGCAATGCATCAGCTAATTCTTTAGTCAATGTCGGCACTTTTCCAGTTCTCTCACTGACTACAAAACACGAGAGTAGTGCTGCTGTATGCTCAGCTGACAACCGATTAAATACTCCATCGAAGAGCAGTTCAGTTAACAGCAATTCATCAGCTGATGTGATTTCACAGGCTACAAAACCTTTTAATTGAACTACATCATGTTCAGATACAAAATTCAATCGTCTCAGTATACGTTTACGTGCAGATAATTCTTCCAGTTGGATCAATGAAACCTTACTATTCAATGTTGTCGTCAACGTGTCCATACGTTTACGCATTTCTTCTTTCTTTTCATAGACTTTAAGCAATTCAGGAAGACGAGGATCATCGTGTAACCAATGATGTTGTAAACGTTCTTGAAAAGCATCGACTTTCTATATAAATTTAAAAAAAAAAACAATTATATCAATAATAATTATTATTATTATATTAGTTAAATTAAACAATAAAAACTAAGTATAGGTGTAAAACTTGGGCACTGTGGTGGTAGTAAGTAATTCCATATTAGTTTGTTTATTAGATGTATCACACAGTCAGTGAAACAGTATTATTTACTGGATGACACAGTTTCAAACAAAATTTATTGTTCATAATCATTTCATCAATTGTGATCACACGACTTTGACACTTGAGTTTTATAGTCTTCTTTGTTCTCTCCTATTTGTCAACATTGGCGTAGTAGAATTTACCAGATATCGGGGACAGGTGATGAATCATTCCTATTACATGTATTTGTAGTTGATTCGATAAACAAAGCTTCTGTTATCAATCTCTCCCTCCCTACACCCTGCTGTTACATTAGATTTTAAAACTGTCATCCTATCCCATCCAGCCTATTGTATGGTTGGGTGTGTATAACTGCATGTAGTGCTTGCGATAGCTGCTGAACTATTCTCTAGATTTCTTATCTTATTTGGATCAACCAATCTAGATTTTGCTGCTAGGTTTTTATGTTCAGCTAGTCTGACTGCCCCTGTTCTACTAGTTTGACCTATGTATTTGACCTGACAATCATTACAGGGTATTAGATAAACTAAATTGTTTTGTTTTAAAGGCTCTGCAGGATTATCCTTTAACCGACAAAGCTTATTTCTAATTGAGTTTGTGCTTGGTTTGAATGCCAGCCATTTTTATTCCTGCCTTGTTAAGAATTCTGCGTAAGGCCTCCGAGGTTCCTTCCTTGTATGGAATTACTACTGATGATTTAGATTCCTTATTATTGGTGTCGTCATTAATATTATTATTATTATCACTATTATTATTATTGTTATTATCACTATCGCTACTATCATTATTCATTTTATTTTTATATTTCCTTACATATTTCCTGACTAATTTATCCGGGTAATTATTAAGTTTCAAAGCTTCTTTTATGTGTATCAGTTCCTGTTTTAGATTTTCTTTGGTACTACTTAGTTTTTGTGCTCTGTCATTTAAACACTTCACCAATCCTACTTTTACTGACATAGGATGGGATGATCGGAAGTCTAAAAAATTCTACTACCCCAATGACGACAAATAGGAGAGAGAACAAAGAAAACTATAAAACTCAAGTGTCAAAGTCCTGTGATTACAATTGATATGATTATGAACAGCAATAATGATGAATTGTGTTCGAAACAACTTGATCATCCAGTAAATACTAATGCTGTTTCTTCACTGTGTGACATATCTAACAAACTAATATGGAATTACTTACTACCACCACAGTGCCCAAGTTTTACACATATATTAATAAGCGATGCTAGTTTGTAGACGTTATCGTCCGCTTTCATCTCGATTAGCGCATATTTCCACACGGTCACACCATAACATATTGGCGACGAGTGCATAACACAGTCATTCCTTCAACCTGTGGTTTAAAAAACAACCATTTACTATCCTTCTCCTTTAAAACTAAATGACAGAGAGGTGAAGCAGTTCAATTTACCAAACTACTCTATGTATCATACAAAGGTATACAAAATAGACAAGAACACAAAAAAAGGATTTAAAAGTACAATATACCAAGCAGGACTGTGACGGAGGGAGAAGAGAAGGAATAGAGTAACACGTGAAACTGCTAGGTATTTTTTATTGAATATGATAGATCACAAAGAAAAACAGAAAGATTGAGAGGCGAAGAAATATTTACTTTTCAATTAGATCCTCCCTCATCTCACTCTGGCTCTATTCTGTCTGGATTCAACATAGAACTTGCCATCGAAGTGCAGCAATTCCAGTTGCCACGTTCCAAAGAGCACACAAAGGTAGACAAGAAGATGGATGAGTGAAGAGAATCAATCAATAGAGTTTTGACAAGTATAAGAGTGAAACAGAATGAGTAATGGTAGAAAGGAATATGAAATTTATACAGAGACTGAATACATCTGCGTAAGCCATTGACAACGATTTTGAGCCATGTCACCTATTGTCTGTCTCCAGCCATTGATTCTTAGAGTCCCGAGGGCGGGCCCCAACCCGGAAGTCTGCATCTCCCTCCCTACCTGACTGACTCAGTTTAACTGTCAAGGATTTCATGGATTGATTGATGAGGCCATGTTTTTGTTTGGCATGGCACCACTTACTCTTTTCCAACCTGCACCTATATATCAGCTAGTAATGCCCGTCGGGGGAGGCTCTACTCTACTCTAGTATACACGTATACACGCATTTTTTTATTACAATACACAACAACTACAAACAATTTACCAATCATCATCAAGTGGCACTGATATGCGAGTTTGTTTGTTAACAATAATTAGTCAGTCAGTCAGTGTCAACATGTCAAACAGGCGGCAAGGGGTGATAATTAACGAAGAAAATCAATGCACACACACAATCAGAAAGGTAGAAATGGTCACATACAACACGTGGATTGATTGCATGATGCATAATTTTGGGAAAAAATGAATAAGGAATTAATTAAGGAATAAATGTGTGCACAGGTTGATTACGTCACAGATTGTTGACGAAAATAAAACGATTTGGGCAATGATAATTTGTAAATTAAGGATGAAGTGGTCATAAGAATAAAATAGTTATTACAAGGATAACACGTAATTAAGAACACAATATTCAGCGAAGAGACTCTTTTCAACGCCTCCATGTACATCTATCAGTTCACCTACTGTTGTGGAGCACGGTACATTGGCCGTAGTCAGAGGACGCCTTCCACACGGTTACGAGAACATATTCCAACAGCATGGCTTTACAAGGGAGAAAGGAAGTGTGTGTGCGAAGCCCTATTCTGGAACACCTGATTAACTCCTGTC